GCCTGCGCGGGGCGGGGGGGAGGTCCCCCTGTCCCCCAGGGAAGGCCCAGGCTGCCCGCAGGGGGTGAGCCGAATGAGGGAGGTCATGGCACCCACCTGGAGGCGTTTCCCGCGTGGTGTAGGCAGAGGATAAGGGCAGTTTCTCCAAAGTCAGGGGTGAAAACTTACAGAAAGCATCTAACAGTGCAGATTTTTTGTTTGTTTGTTTGTTTGTTTTCCAGAAAGCATGCAGTTATTCAGCAATGTTGTGATTATTGCAGAACGCCCGTAGCAGATCCAGCTATTCCGGATAATACCATGTTTGTTTTCATCGCAGAATTTATGAAATCCAAAGCTGAGGGTGTACTCATCTGTGGTCATTTTGCTTTGCAAAACGTGTGCTGAAAATGAATTCACCTACTGTTCTGTGGGTCCCTTTGTGTTTTTCTAGCTACCGTGTACAGTTATTAGCAAGACAAAAGTTTAATAAGTTTTGTGATGGTTGCTGGCTGGATGCAGACATGATGGCAGTTAGAGGGATGAGCCCTGGCACAGCCTCTCCTCTGTCAGAGCGCATCCTATGAACTGGTGCTAATGGGGCAGCAGGTCCCCTGGTACATCATCCTCTAATTAGCACAGTGGTTCATTTTCCTCAGACCACAGCAAAATTACTGTGTTTGGATGATGTGACTATGATATCATAGGGCTGCAGAGTGACTAGTGCTGTTACAGGAACAAAAAAAACCAGGAGTCGCTCACCTCTTTTAGCTTTATGGATACATTAGGGCTACCAGGTCTCAGCTGCACTTCTCAGGAGTCAGGAGGAGTTTGAAGGAGTAGACAGGAAGCAGATACATAGTGTCGTGTCGCTTCCCCTGCCTGACCCCAACTGGGTGTACAGAGTAGAGGGAAAGGAAAGGGCGTAGCTTAAGAAGGTTCAGTTACTTCATTGTAAAGATGTATTTCGAAAAATACCGCTCTGCCTCTCCATGAGTGTGCCCCCAGGAGGGAATTTTCCTCTGAGGCTTGCTGCCACCTCTCTCTCTCCTTGTGATTGCACCTGGTGGTACAATCTAGCCCCATAATAATGCTTATCCTTTGGGACATAGGAGGTAAAATGGAAAATTTGCCTGGCAGGGTTCTCAACCTGTCATAAAACGTTACAATTTAGAGAAACCACGTGAGGAGAGGGTGCAGTACCTTCAGAAGTGCCCGAGTTCATGCCGCAGCTGTGGACAGCTGTGGTCTCTCGGAGGAGGGCTGTTGGCAGGGCATTCCTTCCAAGAGGGCCGCAAATTTGGCACTTTTTGCCCTGTCCGGGTGAGGACTCGCTCAGATCGGGCACACTGTAGAGCCGTCTGTGTGGCAAGGGTTTCAGAAAGGGTGAAAGTATGTTTCTCATAATGATGGCGTGGACAGGAGTCTCGGGGGGTATGTAGCTGGGTGGCTGCCTCCAGGGAAGGCAGCTTTACTGCTGCTGGGACTCTGTTACTAAAACCATACCAGGATACCAAGCGTCTCGGTTAATCCTATTTCTTAGTATTTTTCTGTAAATACCAGTATTCAGATTACAAAAAAAAAAAAAAATTGCCCCTGTGGGAAATTCTGAGGTTTTTACATGCATTTTGAATCCAAACAAAAATAATGGTGTAGTTTTGCAAAATGAAACACATCAAAATGTTTTAATTTATTGGTGGTGTTTCAACTTTTATGGGAGACTTCATTATGTCATATAATTGCATAAAATTCAAGCTGGTGAAATGACAATTGAATGTTTCCTCAATTCCCTGTGAAATGAATCAAAACAATTTTCATAAAATACTGTTATTTTGTCGAATCAGCATTTTTCAAGAGCCATGAACATATTTTGGAAAAATTTCAGTCAATTCCAATGGTAACCATATGATCAATATTCATAAGACATTTTGGTGACTAGAACTCCATCCACCAGGATGACAGAATCTGACATTTAACACATTAAGATCAGGAGAGATCATTTTTAATAAAGCTTTGGTGTAGATTGAAGCCACCGTCGTTACCACAGGCTTCGTCTGAGATGTTTCTTCTCCTTCATGTGTGTCCCTGTGAAGAAGCATATTAATACTCTGGGCATCATGTAACTTTCGTAAATCCCATTTTTCTGTTTTGCTGGTATATCTCATTTTCTGAAGTGTCTCGGCAGCATTTCAATTTTTCCTCAGTGATCTTTTAAATATAAACAGCATTAAAGTTTTCTCATGCTTGTTAATGTTATATTCTGATTGTTATTCGTTTTATTTTGAAGGGTAGTGCTAGGAAGATAATGAAGCTGAAAACAGACTGATAAATAATAGCCACACTCAAGAAAAAATTGTCTTGAGGATTTTAGAAATCTGATTAAAACATGTACATGAATAAGTAGATATTACTGTTAAAATGAAATAATTTACTGTTCTAAAAGCAGTTCAATAATTGTGTGTGTGCGTGCGTGTGTATTCCTATTAGAGCGCAGCAGTTAGAGCTAACAGCCCACTACTCATTCTTTTGAAATTCAAATGCATAATCATCTTTCCATTATCTAGGTCAATAGAAGGCTGGGCTACCCCAGAAAGTGGGAGAAAACAGGTAAAACAGGATTCACTAGAGAGCTTAATGCCTGCCCCCTTGGGTGGAGGCTGGTTTTGTGGGTCTGCGTCTACACTGGGCTTCCCAGTGCTCCCTGCAGTTCTGGGGGCTCGTGTTACCCGGAGTGCAGTGCAGCATGAACATATAATGCCAGTGAGAGCAGTGAGGTCTGTGAGGCTGGAAGCTGGCGAGATGCCTCCAAAGGCCTGAAGCTAGCCAGCAGAAAACGCTTCACGCAGGAATATAGGTCCTCTGAATGCGGCCCTATGTGCTTGCATCTGCCTCCATCGGTGCCTAAAAAGATAAGTGATCCATCTTTTTAAGAGACTGGCCTTATGCTGTTCTTGCAAGATTTTGCCTACCAAACAAGAATTAAATACAGGCAAAAAAAAGTTTGTTGTTGAAGAAACAGTGTTTTAGAAAAAGTGGAGGATATTCCCTCTCCTTACAGTGCCTGCTCTCCGTGTTAGGTTTAAATAAACTGAAAAGCCAAGATTTTTACTGTGCTAAGTCTGAAGACAAATAGTACTATGAGTGCAGTGTTCTCTCGGTTATTTATTTATGCCTGTTCTGAATTGTGCTGCAGATTTTTGTCTGGAGAGCCCAAAATGACTTTGCCTGGGGAACGTGTGGGAAAACTGGAGTTACGCACCTTCTGCAAGGTGTGGGAAGTGGTTTCAATCACAAGCTGTAGATTCAAAATGGAGGAAGAAAGAATTACAGTGTCAAGAGAGCTTTGTCTTAACGGGAAACATATGATGAATTCTGAACGGAGGGGTCACACCCGAGGTTAGATCACGGACACATTTCCTAGGGATCTTTTCTGGAATAAACATAAGTTCCTTGAGTCTTGCAGTCATGAGGAAAAAATAAGCTGCGGTCTTACCTCGTGTTAGCTAACGCAGGGTAAAATAGTGAAAAGGCACACCGGCTGGGGTTTTTAAGATTTGGTGAATCTTCCCTTCCCTAGAGTTTTTATCTTAAGCTGCTAATTCACATGAAAAATTCAACTTCTTGTCATCGCTAGGAAGATGGCGTCCTCTCCTGTCTTTTCAGCTACTGTACGCTAGCTACGGCACGCTCTTGGAGTTGAGATTGTGTATGACTGTGGTTTCCACAAAGCCTTTGTTTTGAAAGCAAAAGTATGTAGGCACCCGGAGCTGACACGCTTAACAACCGA